ATATAATACTACCTACTTTGGCTAACAGATGAAGACCGACATGTCGTTATTAATCTACTGGTATATACACAGTATATGCTTTCATTTTTGTAGTTTTACGCGTCCACGGACAATCTGCAGCAATAGTCTATCCTTCTTAACTGATCAGCTTCTATTGCTGTCCAAACATCTAAAACAATTGGGTTCAAGATGATATCAATATGGACACCAATACATAATGTACATAGAGTTGTCTATCGCCTACTTCCTATTCTGCTCCGACTCTTCTCATTGTATGTGGTATATGCACGCATGGATATGGCAAAACTTGCACCCAAAGTCGAACGTTTTTCTCTGTTTGCTTAAAACGAACAGCTTAGTTAGGTCCAACGTAGCTAGCATACACTCCTCGGGAGAAAAGCTCTTTTCAAGAGATGAAGCACATCAAAGGTATGGTTGGAAATGCTGGCTGGTGTCCTTTCTTAAGCTCATTTTTACGTCCACGTGTGGAGACAAGGTTGAATGAGCGACGATGCTGACCAAATTCCCCCCTGCGTGTGTTCATCGACAGATGAATCCCGTCACCCCTGACTGTTACATTTTCCAGGGATCCCTCACGAATGGGGTAATGCTTACACATCAGACGATGGAGTCATGAATATAAGAGTTGTACGAAAATTGTTGAACAAATTCTCCGTTGCTTACTTTTTGATTTTAGTTTTTCCTGAAACGGTGAACCTCAGCTCACGGAAAGCAGAAGCCACAACCAGACGTGCCAGACGCGTGCTGGAAGCCGCCACTAGAAGTTACTGCGGAATCCAAGTCATATTTCTGAGACTCTGAGATGAAAGCATTAAGAACCGCTCGGATGAAACAAGGACGCGTCATTTTCAAGCGTACATAATATATGCCACAGAAACCTGATTGTTTAGAAGTAGTGCAAAGAGTCATTCTTCACCGTAACAGAAACAGCCATGAGAATAGGAATAACAGCTGGCAACTAATCATAATAATAATAATAATAAACGTTCATTAGAGACCCAGCAATAATATTGGCGAAATATCGACTAGTGCTCTACGTCAACTTACATTTGGGCTCGACGCCCAAATGCGCAAATGGTCATACGCTGGAAAACGTACGGCGATTCTTGAATCAATATGAAAAACTAGCCTAAAATAATTGTCCTCGTGATGGTGTTTGATTGCTAAATTTAAGGACACGATAGGTAACCTAGGCGCAAATCTGAGTAAAATTACGTTTTAATCCTTTAGGGGAAAAAACCATGCAATAGAATGAGAAGTAAATTTAGTCAAACTTTTTTTCTGATTGCCTTTTCCAACTTGCCCTTATCGAGTTCGCTGTCCTTGACAAATTTTTGAGTCCTAGATAGCAGTACCGTAACCTGCCGTAGAAGGAACGACTGAGAGCATCGGTTATGGTGAGAAAACTCGAAAATTACCTGATGCGTAACTAATTTTAACAACGAATAAATGTATTGCATTATTCTTAATAATAAATGGTTCTCATATCATGTATTATCTTACTCTTAAACTCTGCGTGTCTGCGCTTTGTACCTACTTCAGCTTAAAGTCCTATCGCTATAAAAACCAGTATAGAAAGCCGGACAGAAGCACGTGGCAGGAGTTTCGCTTGAGCGAGCATGCCTTTGGCCTTGCAGAAAAGAGGCACCTGCAGGCGAATATGTGTACACCAAAGCCATTTCATTGACGCACGACAGCGTGAGCTAGGAAACTGCTATTGTATCTTGTGTACTTGTCTGTGACAGCACATTTAGCTTTGGCCTTACTTAGATCCTTCACGCAGCGTACCAACAAACATTGCAAAAGTTCCCTGTTCGATCACTACCTGTTGAACGGTACGCTAGGACTCAGCAAGGCATGAGTATTTGCATCTTTTCCTCACGTTGAGGCCAGGCATTTACCAAGTATGGTAAAATCGCATGGGGTTAACTCGTTTCGTTGACAGTGTAAATTATAGATATTGTTCTAATAATGTATTAGGACTCTCAATGGCAGTAAAATTAGCAAGAGGGAACGATCTTAAAAAGAAACAGTATCCCAACGTACTAGCTGTTTATAATACGCTAGTTATTTGAGCACATGTCCTGTTGTTATAGTGTAACGCATCCTCTAACCCAATAGCAACTCGACTATCAACATCATTTCGCCTAAGCATCTAAACATTCAGAACCACAAACTGCTCATATCTACTAGAGTGGTGGGTAACATAGAATCCAATTGACTGAGCTGTGACGCATCCACTGGGTCATCGGGGTTACCGATCGTTTCCGTACAGCTCTACCCTATTTAGTGGGCCTCCTAGTATTTAGTCAGTCTGAGAACAAAGTGAAGTCAGAATGTGCTAACCGGGAACATTGGGCATTGTAAGCTAAAGTCAGAAGAGGTGGAATGAACTTAGACTTTTAGCCAGGAAGACTACGCCATCGTCGAACATCGGGAAAGAGCTAGCTAGGCATCAAACGAAAAATTCTGGGGATCCCTATAGACGAACCGCTTTCAACGTGAACACCTTTTCATTAGTCGTCAAGCCGCTCCCTGCAGCTGCAAATATATCTGCTCTTTTTAATTAATTTTCATACCAGCGAGCATCTATTGCATGGCGATGATAAGTGCATCTAATTTAGAAATGACCCAGACATCTGCATACATTATGACTTATATGTCATGACGAAAATAGTCAGAAAACGCATATTGGCTTCGGTTCTGAATAACGGCCAACAGGCGTTGTTGGCCGTTACCCAGAACTTCAGCGTAAGCACTGGATTTGCAAGCAGAATTTAAAACTACTCCTATTGCATACTGATACATAACCTTATGCTACTATCGCTTCTGTCTATGGTTAGCACTCGCTATCCATACCATTCCCATCAATTCTGGGCTATAACGCCATACTTGAATTGCACTATTCAGTGATCCCATCGTTGCCACTGGCTAGCATGCGTGTAAGCATACCTCCACGCTTATGGAATTTAATTGAGCATTTTCACGGACGAGTTGCCCATCGGAACGCTCGCATGGGCCGCTCATATCATCATGGGCAGCACACAAAGATATCCAGCTCGGTCCGTTGTGGAACATGAGTCGTCGGCGATCATCGCCTGTTACCTTTGCAATCATACCGTCTATACGTAAGTTCCTATGAGTCTAATACCGTACATAGATAGCGTCGTATAAGTGTCTCTTTAACAAGCTTCCAGTCTTTCTTTCCATTACATCGCGTTTTTCTTGTACTTCGTAATTATGGCCAGTTATAGTAGTAATCATTGCACCGGCACCTTGCGTTTCCTAGTTGAGCCACGTAGAAGAACGGATAGAGGCTCTGAATTCGTTGCGGTCTCATTTTTCGACACTGTAGTTTTACGTGTCCCCGCTAACCACTACGAATTCAGCAGATCTCCATTAGCTTCACTCTCGATGCAAAGGTCAAATTTCGGATTGTGCAGAGAGCTGGGTAGATATACCAAACATCCATAGATAGTGAGGATTACTGAAGTACGCTGGCGGGCGTGTGTAACGGTGGCGGTTAATGAATTGTTTCGTTCAGGGTTGCCGGGGGAGTCGACTAGAGGGACAAGAGGAGAGCATCGTCGCTGAACAACAGACGCTGTTATAATTCGTGGAATAGAACGAACATGGAGGACTAGTAGGCAGAAACAGTAGACAGACTACAGCGGTTACTCGAGTTGGAACTAAGAGAAGGCTTTTACCCGCAAGGGACCTGGCCCCAGCGCGCCCCGTTCGACACTGTAGCGACCGTTGGCGTGAAACTGGTCAGCGGGCCGGTTTAAATGGGAGGAGACAGATTCCTGGACGTTGCGTCCCTAGTGGTAAAGAACCTCCAAGGGAGGTTTGCTACCAGATGATGGCGGGTAGACACTGGTTTCGGTTAATGCCTGCATTTGTATTAGCATTGTTACCGGTGGACACGCAAATAAAGATGCTCTCGCAGTCTCCTTGTACGGGAACCTTGAACAAACCTTATTAGGGAGACATCGATAAGCAGTAGATTAGATGCTGCTTTTTCCGATTTGTAAGTTGAGCAGTCGATTTCTTCTCGTTCTTCTCTTTTTTGTCGGTTAACTGGGGTTTCAATGTGGTGTTCATATAGATACAGTAAACACGAATAGGAGTATCGGGTACGCGGTCTATATCTGCTCTCAGATTAACAGATAAGCCGAATACACAAGGTCCTGTGAAAGATGGAACAATCAATTACAAAGAAAGGGGAATAAGGAGGACTTTTTGGAACTGCAAATCCTTTAAAAAAAAAAGGCTCAAATTAGCGGGCCGTCAGCTTAGAAGCGAAAGAAGTTTAAATTAGGGTAAAATGTTAGCTCACCGTAAAAGCATATGCTTGTTTTAACTTAAGCTCACAATTTTTTTGTTGTTAATAAACCCATTTTCTTTAAACAGTAGTCTTTCGTTTTTATCATGCCGTGAATCTACTACAATTTAAATTTTTGGACCAGCGATATTCTTATTATTATTATTTAGCCTTACGCTAAAGCGTCTGGGTTTACTTTCATAAATGTTGACATTCGATCTTATGCTTAACAAGATTCAAACTCTCTCAACATCAGTTATTTTTATTGTTTTTTTCACATATAAAAAAAAAACAATCGAAACATCATGTTATTTGACAATAGTAATATATTCGATTATAATACAGAAGTTACCCGTTGAATCAGTTATAAGGATTGTAGATAGGAAGAATTTCCGACAGACTTTCCGATCTTCGAACAAATACCCTGGATAAAAATAAATCTATTTGCTGGTCAGCTTTTCGAAAGAAAGGGACTATTAGAGGCTAGGTTAGGGCTATTCTTACAATAATATAGACACAACAAATCTTCTTCAGTGTGTTCCGATTAACACAATCCCACATTAACGGTTACTGTAACTAAGTTGAAAGTCTTCAGAGAGACTGATATGTCGAGTCAACTAACCTCATCTTATCGATATTGTTATGCTTTTTCTAGGCAAAGCTTCATCAACAGCAATTCCTCCCTTCACACCCTCGGGACGTGTAATCATCCCCTGTGGGATGGTTCATCGGGCTGGGAATTATACTTTTGAACTTATACTACGTTCGAACGAAACGGTATGATCGATAGCACTTCTCATAACGATAAGAAAAATAATAAATCAGGCCGAATTCCCGGTTACTTTGCATATACGCTTTAATAGCACAGCTGTACTTCAGTTATGTTGACCGATCCAAACGTTTTTCTAGCCATCGACCTTTGCTTGTCCTGCAGGTAATGGCACGATCTCGTCGAGACACTGTGGTCGAATGGCCTTCGGTGAAGATTCATGTGCCATACCTAATCGAGACTCACTCATCGGACGCATCGGTGTACTTCGAGTTGCCAGAAATGAAATGTCCTCCTTTTCACAAGTGAGAAAACAAATATAAACGAATAAAGACATATAGGTTTTTATGTTTACCCTGGTGTATTGGCCAGGTTGTTTAACAGTTACACATTGGATAGATGGCTACTGACAGTTAAGGCTACGTATTAAGGCTAAGGGGCACATGAGAATATGCAGTACCTCTTCTTTCTATTACGTCGGGTAATATCTGCGTAGGGTCTCGGCCATAATGTACTTAGAGAAGTACATCCGATTTGGCCAGAGTCAACAACCAACCGACCTTTGCTGACTGGTCCGATAGGTATATGGGTAATAAAAAATTTGAGCTGTCTATTAATCGACCTATGGAGCTTCGTTACGAACTTTTACAGCAAGCCATGTGATGTCCATCGCAAAATGTCCAAACTACTTCTTACCGCCAAGAGATCGTATACGAACGTCAGAGGTCGTGGAACAGTATACGGTCTAGAGATAAGTCAGTTAAGCTATTTGTTGTATTTTACCAATGATGCTTATCGACCTAGGTAGATAAATGCTAAACCAACTTGCGTCCTAAGCATTTGGGCCTTGGATGAGAACCGTCGCTGCTCACAACTTGAGAAAGTTAATTCCCACTTGAAATAGTTGCAAAGAATTGCATTCTTTAACAGAAAAAAGCGTCCACACATCTAGAGTTCTTCTAGATAGATAGGAAAACACAATAGTTCTGATTACGTTGAATATTCGAGATATCGCTACTAATAGACCGAAATCCGTCAGCCTTACAGCTCTCCATGCCCTCCGATTGGCTGTTCTTTCCGTGATGCAATACGGACCTGTAAACGCAAATTTTGATATGTCTGACTCTTCAAATATTTTTTATACGTGATTACAGTGTTGAGACTCTGCCAGCTCACCGTATGCATGTAGCCGCAAGTGGATCCTACACGCTGCTTTTTTATGACCTGGATTGTTCTAATAATAGCATGCTACATGTACATGCTGATATTTTCAAATTTATGATTTATATGGACAGGCGTTCATGTTCCAAGCAAAAATACCGGTACTACGTACGGGTTTTATATATTGAAAAGTCCTGTTATTAGTTCAAAAATAATACAGCAGGCCAGCATACCAGCAGGCACTTTTTAAGCATATCTCTGGATTCACAATAGGCTCATTTGTATGAGGGCAACATCGTTGTCTACGCATCACATACAGAGATCCTCGTTAGCTAAATAAAAGCACGGAAAAAAAAACTTATTTATAGCAATTGTTCAAAACTGAAACGTACAATTGCACCGATAGCTGGTGAATTTTGTTGTTTCTCGAGCCCCGCTTACTTTTTTTGGTCCTAGTCCCACGCTTAGGTTTCTCATCTGAGCTACTTTCGGTTTTTGTTCTAGGTTTGTTTCTCATATGACAAGTAGAAAAGAAGTAAATAAAATATTGTATTGACATCCGGGTGCATTATTCTGACAAATAACATACTATAGTCGACTGTTTTGTCATAGTTCATGTGTATCAGCTCTTTACGGTCATATTGTGCAATTCCTGTGAGATGTACCTACGTAATTTGCAGTAACTCTGGGAGTTCTACGGCTGCCGGTCGACGGATTTGTGTGGCTATCGTCCTCCTTCACTAACTTTGGGCAAAGTGCGTCCGGTTTTGAGGCGCCCGAGTTCGATGGTGGGGCAAAGTTTGCTCGTAATAATCGCACACGTGATTCAAATTAATAGTATTCCTGTTTGCTCGCGTCGTTGTATCTGCGAAACGGCAGGCGTGAAAACAACGGTCCTTATCCCTTTTAACTCGGGGACGTCTCCATTACATATCAATGTTGATAGATGCGGGTGGATTTCAGTCCATTAAATTATGCTTTAACCGATCCAGACTGTTGATATACTTCTCTTGGAGTTCTCAACGTATAGTCGAAAAAGGCTTTCTCAATGAAGCTGATTGTTGGTGAAGTTTACTTCGTTTGTTCCTGTGTTTGATATTATGTACATTCACGTTTGAAGCGCTACGTTTCGTTTCAATAAGTTGTCTTGATAATTTAGCCCGTTCAAGCATTTCGCTAACGGTAAGAAACCCAACTTAACATATTATGAAAGCTGCGTTGGCAACAACTACTCCACGTGAGAGTTGTTAAATTCATTTTGCTAGATTTAACTTATGGAACTTTACGGCGTTCATGTTCAATTCTTACCTTATCTATTATCCAATGTCGAACACCAAAGCGATAGCCAATCGGCGTCTCTCTTATTCGTTATCTGGACGCATCTAACACTAGGCGAAACTGACGCAGAAGGTTGGGATCGAGATCACCTGAATAAAAGCAAGCCAGAGGAATATGTTGACGTTTTTCTTCCACCGTTGAAGCAGCAAGGTCACCCCACTTAGAAGCGAGGTGTTGTTATTAGTTGATAGTTTTTCGGTAGTCGAAGCAGCAAGACGCGGCGCGACAAAGCAATAGCCAGAGCACACGTGTGGTGGCGCTTTTGCTACGAATAGGCGCCGATTCCTGCGTGGTACTGTTACGTTACATGTACGGGTCCTTCCGTTGTAGGCACGCCTTAACTGACATGTTTCACAGAACGAGGTCAGCTGGAACTAATTCTACACTGTACCTGCTGTGCAGTCGGTCTTTCACTCACAACACAATTTTATGTGGCATTGAAACGGATATAGTTTAAATTGACCAAAGCCTTTTTCACGATTGAAAATTAAATCTTGCCAGGGAAGTATAGATCTCTTTGTACGAACGCATTTTCAAAATCTCGATCGTTTTGCCAGCAATAGGTCAAGCTGGAAACTCCTTGGGAAGGTACACTTAAGAAGCGACCGTGTTCTCTTCCATGACGCACGCTATGATAAATCACAAGGAAAGGTGTTATGAGGGTTTATTCAATTCACCACTGAATATCAGTAGAAAATCGGCCACCATGAGCCCCAAAAATGGGAATTTTTTATAGCTTTGCTTGGAGAAGTCAACTGTCGTTGGCTCCTTTTCTAGCCCTATACAGCATATAGAGATAGATAAAGAAAATTGAAATATCTATCCTATATAAAACAGTGCAACCAGATTTGAGACCAGACGCCTTTGTACACGTACAATATATTTATGGGTGTCCCTCGAAAAAAACACAGTTTACATTTTTGCTAGTTTTGAATACACCTCAAAATGTTTTTGATCTTATTTGATATGCCAATTCAATGAGCTACTTCAAACTTACTTTGAGTCTCACCACCTCTCTTTAAACAATGTTCGTACGTACATACAATACGAATCACCAGAACATACAGGCACTTTTGCCATACTCCGATCACACTCTCTCGCTTAGGGGAAAATTGTGTACTCTAATCAACCTGCGTTCTGAACATCCGATAAGTTGGAGTTCGATTCGGGGGCTGGCTGATCAAATAAGCAGAACGTTACTACCGCAGACACTCGAGGGGCCCTCAGTTTGGTAGAGCAGAGATACATTTCGTATAGTATAACTGAAGAACATGCTGATCCTCACATATCGAATTTTTAGTGGATGTCAATGAAGTATTTATGATGTCTGCGATTCTGAAAGTACTTTCGTTAAAGAGGCAGATAGCTCAGAGTTAAGCTGTGAGTCCATCGTTTATGGATGGCAGTTAAAATCCAAATAAGCCCAGTTAAAATGTACAATAAGGAGGACCAACCACTGGAAAATGATGTCGTTAATATCACTTATAAAATGAAGTGACGTCGGATCATTTCGTAGCCTCTGAGGTTTATGGGCATCTCGTAGAGCTAGAAGCTGGTACCATCCGAATATCGTCATGGCTTAAGTCTGAATGGAAGATGTTCATCTTTTTTCGGATTCAAAATTGACCGCTGATTTGCTTCAGACCGAGTTGCTCCAGCAACCGGTGAATACATATTTATTCGCTGCCGAGTTTCGTCTAAAAGGCCTTGCCATCGCACTTGACAAGGACCAAGATTGGCACAATCCCAAACTAGAACGAATGGAAGTTGTAATTTTTATTACTGGAGAGTCGGCAAAGATACATTCAAATGTAACGACCGACCATCGATGTTCCGAATGCTCATTCTGGGAAAATACCTCGAATCTCGTCTTTTTCGCACTGTCATTTTGTCTTATCGCATTGACTGGCTGTAAACCAAGCTTTAGGCAGTGCTGTTTAGAGAATTTTCCTATAACCATTTTTTTTTTCCAGTTTCGATCTGTTGCCTTTTTTTCTTCACAGTATAACTTTTTTGCTTGGTCTCTTGGACAGTATCTGTCTGTTCTTCCAAATGTCCTTTCTCCTTCGTCACTCACTCATCGACGAGACGATTTCGCGGATGCGATGGGAGTGAGCTTTGGCAATAGGGCAATATTTGGTTTCGTTAAAATGAGATTTGATGCCGCTCTTTCCGCTTTTCGATTGATGCTCTGGCAATGTCTTTTTGCTGGCGGTCTTTGCCTTATTTGCTTGTCCAGACGTTCACCAATGGGTTATTGCCAACACCGTTAAACTAGCCTCAGCTATGGCCTCATTCGCCAAACATCGCAGGGGGTCTCGTCTGCGTTGGCAGTAACTTTTCCTTTTCCATCTTTCGTTGTCCACTGCTTTGCTAAGTGTTGCTTGCTTGCTTGCTTGCTGGTGCACTTCGGCGACGTCTAGTCAGTCGTCACAAGGCTTTGTTTCATTGTTGAAGGAGTTACATCGCCCCCTGCGGTCCCCCTGCAAAAAGAGCAAGACCCTGGAAGCAGCATACGTCTGCCGCGTGGGGTTGAACTTTGCTTGCGACAAACCTAAGAATAGATTTCGGCTGCTGTCGAATTTGTCGCTTTCAATTTTGAAGCTATTCCTCGTTGCAGGCGGTGTTGTCATAGATATGTGACTTGGTGAATGCCCCTTTGGCCAATCAAAATATGATGGCAGCTGTAGTAGTTTGAGCGCGCATGATGAGTGCTTTGCTAACTTGTTTTAGCTCGGATCAGTCTATTTTCAATGATTGATGTCGTCTACCATAAAGTTTGATTTTATTATTTAGGTACTAGAAC